CAGATAGTAGAGGGGGATTGTGGCGGGGGCGGGGCCGGAGAGGGGAGAGTCAGGTTTTCCTTTGATGTCTGAAAATACCTAGAAGAGTCCTATATCTTTCCATGTGCAAGTGAAAAAACCAGGCGTGGCAAAGTCATCTTTCTCATTCACAGTGTAGCTTGTTAATTGTTCTCTCTGCTGGCTGTCAATATAATGTGAAATTTTCATTCCCCATTCAAGATGGAAAAAGTTGTGGCTGAAAATGTTAACATTTGCATTTTTATTTGTTGATTTATTTAAAGGACAGCCTCTCCTACAGCAATCCATCACTTGGTGACACCCCAAATATGAATAATGTATTGTAGACTTGCAGTTACAATGTGTAATAAGTGCTAGAGACAGTAAAGGAATGTTAACTATGTTGCAAATGTAATATTTATCGACTCATAAAGTTTATTGCTTTCGAAGTTCAATAATACTGACCATAAGACATTAATATCACTTATCCTGATTTTAGCTGGGCACCTTTGTATGTAGAAATATTTATCTATCTCATACTAACAAAATAAATATGTAATTTACAACACAAGCAAAGAGGGCATTATAGTTTTCTGTGCTGAGAGCTGCAATGCTTCTTTCTCTCCATTTCACTTCTGGCTTCCAACACTGATCACACACCCCTGAGCTGCCCAAGAGAGTAAGCACAGCAGTCATCTTGGCACGAGAAGGTGGTGAGACCAAACTAAAAGATGCCATTCATTTCTGCTTGGTCAGAACAGACAATGCCCCACAGGCCACTTCACCTGGAGACAGGACTGGAGGGGCTTTCTCCTTGACATTTTGAACACCTGGTGGGTGGGTGAGGCTTGGCTCTGAAGAAAGTTGAATAAATGCCTTTCCTGCCATGAGACTGAGTCAGAGTTTACCAATTCTACTTGATTCTCTGGTCTCCAATGTGAAGCCAGAGCTGGGGAGGATACCATTTGCTTCTCAAATGAATGTGTTATGAGCACAAATGTTACTGATAATTAACCCTTTTGTGCCTTCCAGAATTAGATGGGTCCATTGCCAACAATAAAATTGTATAGGAAGTACCTAACACCCAAAAGCAAAAGAAGTAATGTTAATTAGCAACCATCACCTGTAATTGTGATCCCCATTAAGATTCAGAATTATGTATTTCTTCGTTATAAATAACCTTTCTAATTGTACTTGATGTATGCCAATTTAATCAAAAAATATACTTGCAACAGGCAGATATTTGCATTAATGTAACTTTGGATCTTCAAGTCTTTTATTTTAAATTTGACTGGGGAAAAACGGCCTATTAGACCTGTTATATGCTTTATACATTGGTACCTTTTTCTATTCACGAATGTAGATCTGACACATTTTATATTAAGATTAAGAGTGTATCTTCTGGGATTGCTCAATGCAACAGAAATCTTGTCACTTTTAAAATACCAGTTTCTCTTTCTCGGTCATGTAACGATGCAATGATTGTTGTACACTAATAAACAGGCAAACACCATACATGCAGAGGCAGGATTAAATTTTCAGCCCCTGAAGTAAAAGGTTACTAAGGCCTCTTCTCTCTGTTCTTCTGTGACTCATATGAAGAGATGCAGCTGGTACTCTTTCCACCTCCACCCTTTTTTCTTTGTAAGACATGAAGAGAGAAAGGCAGCTCTCAGCAAATCATGCCCAACTAGTGAATTTTTGGAACTGGAACTGGAATTAGCCTATTTCTAGGAAGCATTGTTTACCTCTGTACTTTAGCCTTTTTTTTCCAGAAAGATTATAGTTTTTAACCACAACACAGAAGTGTTGAAAGTTTTTGCTTTATTTTGTTTTGTTTCTTTTTGAGTTATTGGTAGGTGGGGAGGTATAGATTTTGTGGAGCTTGTTTTCTTCTTGAGGGGGTTTGGGAAATAGTTGAGCATGTGTTTTGAAGGACTTGATAGCCTGGAGGCTTTTTTATTAATTGACACATAATAATTATACATGTATGTTTCAGTACATGTATACATTGTGTAATGGTCAAATCAGGGTATTTAGCATATCCATCACCTCATACATTTATCATTTCTTTGTGGTGAAAACATTCAAAAATTCTTTCTTCTAGCTATTTTATAATGTACAGTATAATGTTGTTAACCATAATTACCCTACCATGCAATAGAACCCCCAAACTTATTCCTCCTGTATAACTGTACCTTTGTACCCATTGACCATCCTCTCTCCATCCTCCCCCAACCCCTACTGCTCCCCAGCCTCTGGTAACCACTGTTTTTACTCTAATTCTATGAGATCAGCTTTTTTAGATTCCACATATGAGTGAGATGACGCGATATTGGTCTTTCTGCGCCTGGCTTATTTCACTTAACATAATATCCTCTAGGTTCATCCATGTTGCTGAAAATGACAGTATTCTCATTCTTTTTTAATGGCTGGATAGTATTTCATTGTGTATATATGCCATATTTTCTTTATCCATTCATATAGTGATGGACACTTAGGTTGATTCCGTATCTTGGCTATTGTGAATAGTGCTGCAGTATACCTGAGCATGCAGATATCTTTTCGACACACTGGTTTTGTTTCCTGTGGATATGTACCCAGTAGTGTGGGATTTCTGGATCATATGGTAGTTCTCTTTCTTTCAGGAACCTCTATACTGTTTTCCATAATGACTGTACCAATTTACATTCCCACCAACGATGTATAAGCGTTCCCCTTTCTCCAAAGCCTCACCAGCATATGTTATATTTTGTCTTTTTGATAATAGCTGTTCAAATTGGAATGAGGTGATATCTCATTGTTGTTTTGATTTG